TGGGGGGTGGCTGGCTAGGGGATGGGTGAGGGGGGTGGCTGGCCAGCTAATGGGAAGATGGAGGGATGAATGACATCCATAATGAGCTGCAGGCTAGGTCTGCTCCAGCGCACTCTCTGCTTCTGCATCATAGAAAGATCTTCAGGCCTGTGGGCCTGATAGGAGCACTGAGCCACGACCCCTGACTTTTCTTACGACCCTCCTGGACTCTGGAATGCATTCAACCCTTCTCGACTTCTCAGAACCCCTTCGCACCCGGGTCAATCCTTGGCTTTTTCCTTCCCAAACCATCATACATTTGGTTCCCCAAGGTGCCACCCCAACCAACCCTGTCTTTCACCAGCATCGGTGCGGAAGCCCAGAGAGTTACTTTCCTAGCAGCCAACCCCTCCTTGGAGCTACCTCGGGGCCCAACGGCCTGTTCCCTGGAGCAGGGGCTCATAGAGGCATGCAGAGGCTGGTGGCAGTGTCCCCTTGGGCTTTATTGTCACAGCCCTCCCTCAGGCCCTGCTCTGGGCCCGTTCCAGATGCCAGGCGAGCTGGGCCAGCCGTCTCGGCAGGAGTGGGCATGTCTACTCAGAACAGCTCGGGGATAATGTAGTCGCTGTGGACACCGTCAATCAACCCTTCCCCGTTGTTGTGGACAAACCAGCAGGCGACCTTGGTGCCGAAGCTGACATCCTTCCTGTAGTCTTTCTGGGAGCCCCTGGGAAAAAGGAAAGAGACACTGTGACACACAGGGTGGACCAGACAGCTGCTAGGCTCGTGGACTTAAGGCAGGAAAAGGGTGTGAAGTTGCTAATTCTTAGAGTCTAGAACTCTTTGGACAAGAAAGAGATCAAATGATTAACTCCTTCTAGGGGGCCGAGTTTGGCCTTTTCCTGATTAGGAGGGGCCTGGAGGGGGCCCAGGACCCCGGAGGGAAACAAGGGTAGGTACCCCACAGGAGACAAGAGCCTGCCGGGCCAGTGTGCGTGGAAGGAGAGGGCTCTCTCCTCCTGTCTTGTTACTGGGCAGGGGGAGGATGCCAGTGGAGTGCCCTCACCTGGTGACCGTCAGTCGATGGTTCTTCACCACCATGGTGGCATCTGGCTTTGTGGGGTCAGAGCCTCGGTGGATGTCAGACACTTTAAAGTCAAAGGGATGGAAGAATTGTCCTGGGAACAAAAACCATTCACGCTGTCAGCCCCTGCATGCTACCATCCCCGGCCATCACCAGAGGTCCCACGGCCACTGGCCTTCCAGGGTTGATGCAAAGGCTGACTGGGTGTTGCGTGCTGGGTCCGCAGTGACTGGGACAATCTTTCATGTGGCTTCCCCCCTCTACCATGTGTCCTGAACAATGTGAAGCTTGAACATTCCATACCCAGCAGCCCATGTGTCTGTGCCGACATCCGGTGACTGTCCACCACATAGAAGCCCAGAAAGTCCTGATGGACAGGATGCTTCTTCCACACCTGGTGCAGGACAACCACAAAAGTAACCCCATCTCCAAAGGAGACCACCATGTTCTTCTTCCTGTTGATTGTCACAGACAGCCTAGGAGAGAAGAGGACGTCAGCAGGTGGCGGCCATGATACGGGGCATTCGAATCCAGGGCATTGTGGGAGGGCCTTCTCCGTACATGGCACCTAAGAACACACGGACTCTAGAACTATCTCAGAGGTGTTGGAGAGAAGATGCCTCATGCGTGTTGACTATGTGCTCTACTGGGTGGATCCTTATTCCCCTGTAAGCAGAAACAGGGCTGTCCTGGGAGTCTGGAGACCTGGGATCGAGCCTCAGCTCAGCCACTGGCTTCCTGTGTGACCTGGGGTAGGTTCTGCCCCCTCTCAGAGCTTCCTCAGGAGTGACTGCCCCTGTCCTACCACTAGGCTCCGGGCGACTTGAGGACATAGGAGAGGCTGAGCAGTTTGAGAAGGTTCAAGTTAACAAGCTCAGCCAGGGAAGGTGAAAATGGGGATTAGTGTGTTATCAGATTGTAGGTCCAACTAATGCTTATGTCCAGGCAGCCCTTCCCCCAAGATCAGTCCTGTGAACCGGCCAGCTGGCAATGCTGGCTAGGGCCGCGTGGTCACCCTTCCCTGGGCAGGGGCTGAACTCTGAGGCCTACCGGTCTCTCCCATGACCCCTGTGGATCTTCTGTCCTGGGATGTGTCCACATCCCTCAAAGGCTCCTCAGGCCTTCGGCCTGAAGTGCTCCTCAGAGACCCGGTAGCGGACCTTACCCATCCTGTGTGATTGTGACAGTGTCCAGCCAGCTGAGGGTGCTCTGTGCGGCTCCGTTCCCCAGGATGATCTTCTCCGGCGTCACCTCCAACCGGAAGTCCATGTGAGCATTGGCAATGCCCAGCTTGCCAAAGTAAGTCTTTCTGGTCTTGGAGTCAGAGTTGCCTCCCTTCTCGCCGATGATCTGCCCGTTAACTGTGAGGCCTGCCAGAGGGATGGGGCAGTGAGGAGCCAGCGAGACCTTCTGAGTCCAGGTTGGTCTTTAGGATGTGCCTTCTCCTCCAGCCAGCCTTGCTGAGTGGCAGTGTGGGGTCCCCAAAGCAAGACCAGGAAGTCAGAGCCAACCCTCTCTGGTCCTAGACACTCCTGGGTCACGCTGGCGGCTGAGGGCCCATGCTGCAGGCCTGCCCCTTGTCTGGACCAGGGAGTGGTGTTCAGAGAAAAACCATGTCCCAGACACAGGCTGCACCCGGGCCACCCTCAACCCTAATCATCTCTCCAACACCACTGGGGTCCTTGGTGAGCCTGTGGCTCTAGACAGCCCCCTCAGGGTGTGAGCTACACATGAAGATGATGCATTCTGGGCACAGTGAGGAGCTGGCCCCGGCCCCAGCCAGCAGCCCCGACCTGTGATGGGGTCCTGAATGAGGCGCAGCACTGTGCCCGGTTCTTCATCGATGTTGAAGCAGATGGCATCGTCTTTCTGCGGGACTTGGATGATGAAGTGGGGGTCCCCATCCACTAAAGACACATCAGAGAAAGGGCTGGCTCACCGTTCCAGGGGGAGCCTCCCCTCCCCTCTTGGCCCCATTGGGAAGACTCCTAACAGGACGCGCTGGGGCCTGGGGCCTGGGTCTCACCCCAGGAGGAGCGGGGGGCACTCACCGTAGTAGTAGGGTGTCTGAGGAGGCTGGTAGCTGGCTGTGGACGCAGAGAGAGAGAGAGAGAGAGAGAGAAAGGCTGAGCTAAACAAGCAGGCCAAGGGAGGCACCAGGACCCCCAGCCAGAGTTGGGTTTGTGCCCCTCCCCTTTCTGCTTCCCCAGGCTCTCAAACCACCCCCATCTCCTCAGGACCCCAACCATCTGTCTGTTCCAGAGAGGAGACTCAGGAAGACTCCAGAAGGGAACGTGGCACAGGACCAGTCTCTGGGCAGTGCCTTCTGGGCAGGGGGCTGTGGCCGCGGGCCTGTACTCACTCAGGTAAGCCATGGAGCGCGCAGCTGAGAAGAGAAGCCAAAGGGCAGTCGTGAGTGGGGTCAGAGGGTTCTCTCTCCCCCAGCCCCATGCCTTCTGCCTGTCCTGGGGTCACCAGTCTCCAGTGGAGCCCCAACCCTGACAGATGGAGGCTTGGGATGGGACTCCTAAGTTAGGCTTTAGAAATGGGAGCATGCCCAGGGAACTCCTTTCGAGAACGGGTGGTAATATGACTGTAATTTCTCTGCCAGGGGCAGGGCATTGTGACTAAAATTGTGTCTAAAATGCAAGCCACGAGACTGTCTGCTTCTCTGTCATGAATAATGTTCACAGCGACACCATCCCACACCCCTGAACTCCCTCTCCCCAGAAGTTCACAGCTGTCTGTTGTCCTTGGTAGTGAACCCCGCCCACACACACACATACTCATACACACAAGTGTGCACCCCGGTGACTGCATCTGACAGCCCCGCGCTAAGGGGAGAGCAGGGAGCCAGGCCAGATGCGCTGCTCGGTTTGCACAGTCTGTTGATGGAGGCTGAGCAGGCAGGTGGGGGCTGGGCGGCGCTGCCTGGTGGGGGAGGGGGCTTATTGGGGACAAGGATGCGATTTGATAACGAGAGAGGGGCAAAGTGCTATGAATCCCAGGGAGGGGCCTGGTCTGAAGTCTCAGCTTGGCCGCCTGCTGACTAAGTCCTCCAACAAAGAGACTTAGGCTCTCCGTGCCTCAGTTTCCTCGCTATAAAATGGGAACCATGAGAGGACTCCTTTAGAGGGTCGCTGTGGAATTAATGGAGTGTCAGTGCCTGACGTGAGAATTTGCTAATTTTTGCAGGTCACAGAAGGCTCTCATACTGATTGTCCCTCCTTATTCAGGGGAAGCCACCTCCAAACAGCTGATGAGGACCTGATGAGGCTCAGAGAAGGCAGAGCCCAGACCAAGGTGGCTCATGAGTTGGCAGCAGTGCTGGGACCTGAGTGCAGGTGTCCTAAGGGCCCCTCCCTGGGCTGGGCACTTGGAAAGGCCTCCCTGGTTCTCTCTTGTCCCCCTCCTGGGACACCCGTCCCACTGCTGGCCGAAGCTCACCTTCCGTATCCACAGGCCCTGCGAGGGAAGAGGAGGAGAAATGTGTTAGGATCCACAGACTCTTGGTGTCGGTACAACTCCTACCAACTTGCTGCCTGTCCCCCCGGCCCCAGGCTGTGGGCCTCCCAGCAGACAACTCCTCCCCAACCCCAATGGTATAAACCCTGGAGCCAGGAGCTCCTAGAGGCCAGGGGCCTGGCCTGGCCCAGCTCTTTGCCTCCTGTGCCTCCCCCTGCCAACCCCACATCCCCACGCCCAGGTACAGGGACACTTAGGAGTCCCCTCTTGGAACCTGGTTGAGCAGGCTTGTCAAGCCTCCAGCACTCGAGGCCTTTTCTCTCACAATCCCCAGGCACATGCTCTGAGCCTAACTTTCAAGCTAGAAGAGCCTCTTCCTGTCTAAATAAACATTTCCATGCTGCAGCCAAAGTCCCTTTCCTTGAAATGACCCCAGGCAAGAAGTCCCTTGACTCATATCCTTTTAGCAATCCAGAGGCTCCTATTCACCCCCCACCCCACTGTCCATGCTGATGGCTTCACTCCCTCCACATCCCCCTCCCCAACCCTCGGCCAGATTTCCTTCTATGCCCCATGGACCTGCCCCACTTCAGCAAGTCTGGGTCTCGCCAGCCTGGCTCGTTCCTCTTCTGGGTCCCCAAGGGGTTCGAGTTCTAGCCTCCACTCTCCGTGCCCACCTTCTCCAGGCTTGTCAGCGATGGCTGTCTGGTCCTCATTGTCCTCAGGCTTGGTCACCACCATGGAGGTCAGCGGAGTCACAAAGTGGTACTTGAGGGACAGGTCCAGGGCCTGGGCTGTGAGGTTCTCCTTCTCCTCACCATGGGCATTCTTGCTGTGGGGAGGGGCAGCAGTGTCAGCCGGAGAACAGTTCCCTGCCTGACCTCCTCTGCTCTGACTCCCGGAACCAGGCCAAGAACCCCAGAGGCAGCCCGGGACTGCTTTTTCCCAGGGTAGAACCCACTAGTGCTCAGAAAAGACTGGTTCACCAGCTCCCTGGGACAGATGGACAGGCTGTGTCTGAGACTGGGCCTCAGTTTCCCCACTATAAGATATAAGAGCCTTGAAATGACGTCACAGCAATCACTCATGCCAGCATCCATGTGCTGAGCACTCAGCGTGTGCCAGCCCCCACTCCAGGGGCCTTATTGGCTTATCCCACCCAAAGGAAGGCTGACACGGGGCTCTCAAATGGGCCCAAGCTCTGCCTTCTGGGGGCTGGGAGCAAGGGTCCCAGCCTTCAGTCGTGTTCAGCCTCACCATCCCTGTGGGCCCATGCTGGGTGTGGGCTACAAGGTGCTGAGGCCCGCCCCTGCCCTCGGGGCGCTCCCAGGCTCCTGCTTGAGCCCCACATGTCAGGCCAGGCTCTGCCCCTGGAAAACCATTCCGTGGGGGCTGGGCTGAGAAGAGGGGAAGGCAGCGGGAGCACACGTGGAGGGGCACAGCCCGTGGTGTGGCTGAGTCTTCTTCCTCTTGGGCTCCCCCAGAGCATGGTCAGCACAGGGGCAAGCCCAGGTAGGTGGTGGGGTGGTGTCAGGGGCGCAGGTGTGGGGCCTGGCTCTGGGAGGGGTCGCCAGCATCACCGTTTCTCCAGCAGCTGCTCAATGGTGAGGTAGGCCCAGAGCCGCTCGATGTAGTTCCCAAAAATGTAGTCCTGCTCCTTCAGAGCCTTTTCCATTTCTTTCATGTCCACCTCCTCTGTGAAGGTCAGATCATTGGTGGCCTGAGGTGGGGGCGAGAAGAGGCTTGAGGGCTGGAGGCCTGGACTAGGTGGGCCCAGTCCGAGGGCCACCACTGCTGGACCATCAGCCAGGAGGCCGGAGCCCCACTGGTGCCGATCCCCCATCCACAGCACACATCCCGGCCCTGGCCCAGCTCACCCCGTGGCCCTTTACATCTGCCTTAAAGTTGTTCATGTCCTCATCCAGCAGGCGCCCAGCCACCACGATCTCAGAGCCATCATAGAAGTGCTGGTAAGCGTTCTGGGTGAGGTCCTGGATGGCGTTCTCAGGGTACTCCAGCTCCACGCTTGTCAGCAGCGGGGTGGCCACCTCCTCGTAGAAGCCCTGGAGTCCAGAAGGGGGACCTGGCCATCTCAGTTCACAGGGCAGACATGGAGGGGATGAGGTGGGCAGGTGCCCCCTGCTGCCTCCCCCAGGCATCGAGGCCCCCAGGCTGGGCCAGTCCTGGCTCCTGGGCCCCACTTCCTTGTGGCCCTGACCGTGCCCTTCAGTTTGCGTACCCCCAAATGTGACCTTTTGGGGGATTAGGGTCGTTACAGAGGTAATCAAGTTAAAATAGGGCCTTTGGGGTGGGTCCCAATCAATATATCTAGTGTCCTGCTGAAAAGGGAGCAATTTGGACCCAGAGACAGGCGCGCACACAGGGCAGATGATGCAGAGAGACAGGGAGAAGGTGGCCATCTACAAGCCAGGGAGAGACGCCTGGAACAGACCCTGCTCCCACAGCCCTTGGAGGGGAGCAGTCCTGCCCACACCTGGACCTCGGATTGGTGGCCTCCAGAACGGGGAGGCGGTCCGTTTCTGTGTTGGGAGCCCCCAGCCGGTGGTACCTTGTTACGGCAGCCGAGCAAACGAACACAGCGCCGCCGGGCCACGCTGAGGACACCGCTTACACTAAAGCATTGTTCCCTGCTTATCAGAATTCACATTCGACCCTGTATTTGGTCTGGCAATCCTGCAGAGGAAGCAGGGCTGTTCTGTGTAGCCCAAGGACAGATCAACCACCACTGATGGCTAAGACGTAGCCAGAGGCCCATGTGAGCCCAAGAGGAGACGTGTGTCGCTTGGCGGAACAGCTGCCTGAGCTCCCCGTTCCCAGAGGTGTGCCAGATGAGGCGTACCTGCAACTGCAGGTTGGCATCCGAATCCTCATAAATGCGCCGGGCCAGCCCGTGGTTCTCCAGAGCCATCCTCTCCAGGAAGTTATAATTCAGATTGTTGCCAAAGCCCAGGTTATACAAGGGGAACTTGCCCCCAATGGCATTGCGTACGTTCTCTTGGATTTTTTCGGGTCTGCTTTCCCCTGCAGGAGAAAGGGGTTGTTCACACTCCAGCCACAGGCCAGCAACGAGCTGGATCAGCTCTGTCTGGAGGTATCAGACTCCTACACATGCAGAGCTGGTGGAGTCGTGGCCCCGAGCCCGTGTGGGGGCAGGGGGTAATCCTTGGCATGGAGAGGCAGGGCCCTGCCCTTGCAGGGCTCACAGGCCATTGGGAGAGCCACCCGCGATCTCGCAGCATGCCCGCTCCTGGGCCTGAAAGCCAGGAGAGGAGAGCCACACCGGCCTGCCTCACCAACGTTGGCATCCCCGTCGGTCAGCAGGATGACAATGGAGGTGCTTCTCTCTGGGACTCTGTGTTCCTCCCGGGCCTTGTTCAGCATGTTGATGGCCCTCATCAGCCCATCGTTGATGTTGGTCACTGGCACGCAGACAGACAGACAGCACCGTGAGAGGCTGTCCTCAGGGTACCAGGGTGGAGGAGTTCAGGACAGCAGGCCCTGCTCTTGGGCGCAAGGACCCTGTTGGCCAATGCATGGTGGTACTCAGTAGATACTGACCAAGTGACTTAGTGAGCGATGGATGAATGACTTACTCTTTCAATGGGGACAAAAGGACAAGCCTCGTGGGGCTGCCAGAAGGTGGCTGTGAAAGCAGTTTGGAAAACTGTCAGACGGACTGGCAGGCCCGCTCACTGGGAGGAGAGGGGAGCCGTAGTGACGTCACTTATCACTCTCTCTAAGAAACAGCCCAGGATGAGGGCTCTCTGTGGCATTATCTTGCTGGGCTTCCCCAGGCGTCGAGGATGCCAGCATCATGGGTTAGAGAAAGGAAGAGTGGGTTCCCCAAGCCCACAAAGAAGACACCCCAATATCAAGCCTGAGACCCGCTCCCCCAATCCCGCCGCTACCCCCAGCTAGGGTCTGCAGGGCTTAGACCAGCAGCGTCTCTGCCCCAAGGCACGAAAAAGGCAGATTGCTCAGGCCAAGGGGAGCGGTAAGCTGCGTCTGCTCTTCCCTCCGTTCTTACTTCCTTGATCATGAATATTCTTCACAAATATCCTGGCCTCCTGGATGTTCTCAGGAGTGGCTTGAACTAAGTCGTCTTTCCAGGTGGTCACATCCCCACTGAACAGAATGAAATTCAGGTAGTCCAACTCTTTCATATCATCCAGGATCTTGAGGAGGGCATCCTTTGTCTGGGAAAGAGACAGACCAGCAGACGAGGGGCTGGAAGGGAGCAGCAGAGAGCCAGCCGTCTGTCCTCCCAGCCCAGCTGGCGTTGGGGCCTGTCCTTTCTGCAACAAAAGGGGGCGGATGCTCTGTGCCCTTTCTAAAAATCCTATCTGTCCCCTTCTTTCTCTTTCACTGGAAATGTCTGCTTTGTCCACTTAGGAATAAATCTCTCTCCCTCCCCCCCCACCCTCCCCACCTGCAGTGAGGAGAGTACCTGCTCCATTTTCCGACCATGCATGGAGCCACTGATGTCGATCACGAAGACCACGCTCTTAGGCACCACTGGAAGGCCTTGAGGTGCAAAGAAGTGCACAAAGTAGCCATTGACTATCTGGGAAGGGGAGAGAGAGACTGGAGGCAACATGCCTTTGGCGACTCTTGCACATGGAATCCAGACATTCACCAGCTCCCGAAAACAGCTGTTCTTTCCCACCCACCATGAGGTGCCACACAAAGGGCCATCAACATGCTGGATGGTCTGTCATCCCCAGGCCGTGCAGGAAACTCGGCCTTGGGCTGAGGACCAAGGGTCTGGGCACGAGATGCAGCGGCAGTCCCTTCTGTACCAGCCCCCACTGCATCAGGGCGCCGGAGGATCGACCAGGCCAGCAGAGCTCCTGGGCAGCTACCTGTACGTTGGCCGGGGACTCCCTGTTCACGTCGTAGGTGATGATAAAATTCCCGTTGAGGAGAGAGTCTGTGCAGGTTGGGCACGAGCGCTGTTGGTCCATGCTGGGCTTGAAGGACACGTGGCCCTGGGGGAGGTGACGGAGGGCCTCGCTCAGCTCGGCCAGGGCCTGTTGACTGTGCTCCGCCCTGGGGAGGGAGGCAAAGCCCCCACAGGAGGAGCCCGCAGGTGGGCGCCTGGGCAGTCCGGCTGCCACCTGGCAGGCCCTGGCCTTCCTGAACACCTCGGGGAGAGGACGTGGGGCCCAGGGCAAACGCACTGCCCTGCAGAAGCCACCAGCCCTCTGAGCGGGTGCTCCTCGGGTTTTGACCGGGAATTCCTGAACGACTAAGGTTTGCTATTCATGTAACATTATTCATTCACTGCCTAGGACGAACAAGGCCCCTGGAATGGCTGGGAGCCTTGGGAACCAGAGCCAACCATCAGCACCAAGAGATTCCCTTTCACCGTCACCCTTCAGGGT